TTAAATATGCATCACCAGTAAAAGAAGCTGGAGTAGTATGATGATATCCTTACATTATCAAGATGGAGTTAAAAGATATTAAATAAAATCTCTGGATCAGTTTCATCTATTCTGATGAAATTTCTAGGTGAAATGAAGAAACACAAGTAGACAATTCCAAGGAAAAGGAATCAAGTTGTGCACTTATTTTTTTTTTTTTTAGAAGAAGCAATAAGATGTTTCAGTTTTCATTTGGCAACCAATATATGATATTGTATTAACTTTTAACTTTTTCCTTCAAAATTAATCATCCCAACTAATAAGAAAATATCTTTTTACAAATCTAAAATTATATTTCTTTCTTAAAAAGCCAAATAGGCCCTCTCTGCTGGCGCAGCGGGTTAAAGCACAGCACTAAGAAGCTAAAGCCGCTTCTGCATGAGTTTGATTCCCGCCTGCCCCGGAGGTGACCACATGGCGTGGCAGACCTCTCCTGATCCGCCCGCTGCTCCCCTCAGCAGTGTACTTCGTCAATCTACCTGTTCTGTTCCCCACTCTGTCTCTGGTGAAGTCTCTCACCGTCCCTGAACCTCTGGCCTGCACCCCAGTTCAGTATGCACAAATAAATAAATCTTAAAATAAAAAAAAGCCAATAACCACAAATATAAGGTCTGAATAGTATTTCTGAATTCTCAATTTATTCCATTAATCTATTTCTATTCTTTTTTTATGCATTGTATTTTTTTAACTGAGGTAGCATTGGTTCACAACACTGTAAACACTGTATGTTATTTACAGTATAAGTTTACACCTCTCCAGATGTATGCTACAACACCACACTGTGCCCACTACCCAAACACTCATAATTCCCCAGTGTAGTCTATGAGGCCTCGACCCCCACCCATGTCTCTGTCCCACCCTGTCCTCTGATAGGTCCAATTCTACAGTCAGATTTCTAGGGGTGGATTGGTTTAGTTTTGCCTGTTTCTGTGTCTCTACATTTCACAGATAAATGAAATAATTCAGTATGTCTTTTTCTTCCTGTTTGTTGCTCTTAGCAGTCCCATCCATGTTGTCACAAATGGCAAGGTTCCATTGGTTTTTAGAAGTGAGCAGTATTCCATCTTCTCAATCCATTCAGCTGTCATTGGACACATAACCTGGCTACTGTAAATATTGATGCAATGAACATTGTAGAATATACATATTATGCTTTGAATCCGTGGTTTTGCACTCTTTGGTTAGATATCTAAAAGTAGGATCACTGGATCATATGGTGGGTCAATTTTTGATATTTTGAGAAACCTCCAACTGTTTACATAGGGGCTGGAAGACGATTCCACATTCCCATCAACAGTACATGGAATTCATTTTTCTCCACTTCCTGGGACAACGCTTGTGTTTTTGCTTTGTTTTGTTTTTTAAGATTTTTTTTTTCTTTATGTTTACAGAACTGGGGTACAGGCCAGAGGTGCAGGGGCAGTGAGAGAATTCACCAGGAACAGAGTGGGGAGCAGAACAGGCAGATCATAGTACACTGCTGAGGGTAGCAGCGGGCAGGTCAGGAGAGGTCTGCAGCGCCATGTGGTCACCTCTGGGGCAGGCGAGGATAGAACTCATTCTGAAGTGGCTTTAGCTTCTTAATGCTGTGCTTTAACACACTGCACCACCAGGGAGGGCCCACTTTTGGATTTTTGATATGGTTACTCACAAATGTGACATGATATGTCTGTGGTTTTGATTGACATTTTCCTGATGACAAATGATGATACCCATTTTTTTTATGTTCTGGTTGACCATCTGTTTGTCTACATTGAGGAAGCGCCTATTTACATCTTCTGCCCATTTTTCAGTTGGGTTGTTTTCTTTTCGATCAGTTGTATGAGTTCTTTCTTTATAGATCTTGGATGTTAGCCCCCTGTTGGAAGTATGATATGCAAATATTTTCTCCCCTCAGTAGAGTGGCTTTTTGTTTTAATGATTGTTCCTTTGGCTACACAGAAGCTTTTTAGTTTAAAATAGTCCCATTTGTCTAGTTTTGCCTTTAGTTTGTTTGGATAAACAAGAGTAGAAGTGTAAGGATTGGGGCTTCCTTGGTGGCACAAGGGGTTAAGTCTCAGCACAATGAAGCTATCAGCAGCCACTACAACATAAATTAGATCCCTGCTCCACCCCTCCTGGTACCCCCCCC